TGTGTGTAGGTAGTGAGTAATTGAACTGCAGTCAGATAGTATTGTTGAAGTTGAGCACGTAATAGCGCGACTGTTGAAAATAAGTGTATCGGTAAAGTTGTATTCGGAAAGAATAAACCAGTTTTACTAAGAAAGGACTTGTGTCGCTAAAGTTTCGTCGGAACGAAGTTACGGGAAATCAATTAACAAACGGAGACGTAACACTCGGAAATAATTTATACCGGAAATTATCAAACGAGCAGATACGTAACAATATCTATAGGGTTTTGAGTCCGTTTTACTTCACTATATAGTAACCTAAATTAATTTATAACATAAATGAATGGAAGTATCTTTTCTAACAAAAATTATTGTAACTGAAAAACACCAGACGATTAAGTAAAGTGCAACATTGACTTGAATATGTTTTAATATATATATTGTAATGATTCATGTTTGGCTTATTTAGGTTTTGGTGTTGCAAGAAATATAATAAACAACATAATAATAATATTAATAACACCAAGAGACTGCACTCATATCAATAAGAAAAGAGAGACTTGTTTGTTTGTTTTAAGCTATGCACAAAGCTACATAATGGGCTATTTGTGCTCTGCCTACCACGGGTATCGAAACCCGGTTTCTACCATTGTAATTTCACAGACATTCCGCTGTGCCACTGGGGGGGGAGGCCGAAAAGAGAGACATCCGGGATAGGAAAAAAAATCGAGAAAATTATAACAGCACTTTCTAAAAATATGGATTAAAATATTTTCTGCAATAATAACATTAAGAGATAAATTATGAGTAAAATACGTTGTATTATCACTTAAACTGTAATACTAATAATAATAAATAAAGCAGTAGTTTTTATGAGATACAAAGAAAAGGTGGAAGGGGTTAATGGTGGGCTTGATGTACGGATAGGATCCAATGGTGAGACTTAATGTATTTTTTATTCTTATAATTTTACAAATTAGTTTACACTTTATCAAATTAAAGCTTATCTTTCTTTGCTATTTATAGAGAGAATTATTTTTTTTTATGACAAACTTGAATTTTAAAGTGTCAAGAGTAGTACACTGCTATTACTAACACTCAACACTGGGGTGACTGGGTAACACAAACACTTGAATTTTGAAAGTGAAACAGTAAAGATAGTAACGAGTTATTAAATATGCATTGTATTTGTAGCACAGTAATGTGACTTTTAGTATAAAATGTCGTAAACTTGAAAATAAAAGTGTGGTTTGATGTAATTAAAGAGTTAGGCCTTCAAAATGAAATCAAAAAAACATAATTCAACAAATAAAAAATAAGAGATAGCTGCAGTGGTAAATATCTTATAAATATAATGAAGCTCGCGATGTATATTTCCAAAACTAGGTTCTCTAAAACTACCGCACCGATCGTCACTAATCATACTTGGGTAACATTTTTATAACTAGGCAGTATTTGTATAGCTGAGCAATAAATAAAACATTTGAAATTTCCACAAAAATGATATGTTTCAGATTTAACCAATAAAAATTACAAAGAAAAAAGGAGTAAGTTACAGATTTCACCAGTAAAAATTACAAAATAAGAAGCAAGTTTCAAATATAAAACAAAGTTAAAAAATTATATGTTTTTCTTTAGAGAAAATCTCATGAGTGTTGCAATATAAAAGCAAGGCACTTTCATTGATAACTGCATCTACAAAGAAATAATTCAGTCAAATTTATTCTGTGATGTAATGCTGTGATGGTGCTCATTTTAAACCTAAATTTTCAATAAAATCATTTTTCGTATGAATGGTGAACATTATTGAATGTCAAGTATGAGTACATTGATGTAGAACTGTCAGAGAATTCCAGAAAAGGCTGCAGGCCCAATAATCTTCCACAGGAACTAGCAGTTATACCTGCCTGTAGGGCGGGTATTTCTGCTAGTGTAATTAATTGAACAAAAATTTATATTTTAAAAAGTAAGGCCTTTTAAATAAAAAATATAATTAATCAAATCAAAAAGTGAGATACTGCTAGAACTTAGAAGTAGAATGGTAAATATGTATATAATACCAATAGGAAAAACTTGTATTTTCATTTGTTTCAGCTAATGTATTAATGCAAAAAATATATACATATAATGACCTCCATGTGTAGATTTGTGTTGGTTGTATTTTCATTTTAAAATCATAAAGCTAAAATATTACATTTGAAGTTAGAGTTAACACTAACAGTGATTGTAAATACATTGGTATGCTATAAAAATTGAAAGTTGGGCAAGAAGTGGAAATCATGGTGTTAGAACCTTTCCTGTAGTTCCACTCTTTCTTCAGCCATGGTTGTAAGTCCACTGAATAGATTAAACAATTAAGAACTTATTCAACAACCTCCATTCTCTAGTACTTGAAGATTACCAATGTACCAAACACTAATCCCCTAAAATTAGTAAACATGCAAGGGATCATTTCATAACATATCCCATACTGTCTCAAACTAAAAATACCTACTTAATCTTGTGCCTGTGACTTTAATTAACTTGCTGTTGTCCACTGTATTTTCACTTTTTGTTTTAAATTTATACAGTCATAAATTTTTTCCACATTGTGGTTGGTACTTTACTTGTTTCAACCTTGCTTTAGCCTTCTTAAAATTCTAAGACAGCTTTTAGAGTTTGCTGGTTAACATAAAATGATGAATAAACAGGATAAATCATCACACTAGAATAAATATCTCTCATTTTAAATACAGTCAAAGTCTGTTACAACAGTCATTCAGAACACAGCATAGTCACAAAATGCAGATATGATCAATCACAGATATGAGTTGGAGATTTTCAGGTCTTGACCCAAAAACATTGAAGCTCTCATTTATTGTGGATAACAACAACAAAAAAAAAACATTTTTTTGTCATTACTTTGTTGAGAATTATATTTCCCAAAGAAAAAATGTCCAAATTAATCTTCCTCACCAAAACTGTGATTGATGTTTAAGGTACACTAAAAAAAATGTGGCAAACTATCTTGAATCATCCCTTCTACTTTTCTACTAGGTATGCTAAATGTGCTTCACTTTAGAAACAAGATTTATTTGTGACTCAGCTCATTTATTTTTACATCTCATGTAAATATTACAATTTGGTAAATTCAGTCTTCTCATTTATTCATTTATAACACTTAGGCAACAAGGGACCATTTTTCCTTCAAGGCTGTTTAAACAAACCTTTTATTCTTTACAAAATCAACAGTTCATCTGTTAAATTCATGTAAAGTGCCAAACTCTTCTGCTGACAGAGACTCAGTAGTTTGTCTTTTCCATAACCTTAAGTTGTGTCCTCTCAATCTGTTATCTTCAGAACAAAGCACAAAAATATTAGAGGCATTATCCTGTTGATCCTACAGATAATCTTGTAAACTCTAATAACATTACTTCTTACATTCTGGTACAAGTGCATTTAATGTGGACACATTTCCAATGTTAAACTGTCAGCTCAGTGGCACTTGAATTAACCAACTATTGTCATTTAACATGTTTTGTCAGAAGTTTGAATTTTAATAACAGAGGAATCTAAATCCCTTAATTAGAACCTCACATGTTTACTCATAGATGTTGATAAATGGATTCTGTATTGTAACAATATTGATCTTTATAAATGGATGTAATAATCACAATCTTTCTAACAATGAACATTTCTTATTTACACATTTGTATGTACATCATTATTTAAAAAGTATGTGATAAAAATTTGTTTGTATCTCATACATTTTTATGTTATACTTCAGATAAAGTTCAGTGCTCTGAATGAAGGCTTTGATTCAGATTCAGAAAATGAAGAGCCAGAAGATCTGGTCACCAAAGAAGTCCAGGTACGTGTATATGTAATTTGTTTGATCTTGCTCACTCACATTATCCAAATGTTGTACATACTGTCCCACATTTTTTCTCTTCTATTAGATGATACTCAAGTTAGTTTTAAGGTTTAGTGATTTGACTGTAAATGTTGTAGTATTTACGTTTTTAACTGTTTAATTTCAGTCGTAACTAATCTTGTTCTGAGTACACTAGTTTTTAACAAATTTAAAACTTGGATTTGTCAGTTTTGAAAGCTAAAGATAAAAACAACAACTTTATAGAGATTATTTTAACTTGTTAGATTGGCACTTGTCACATAAATTGTGAAATTCAATCGTGTTTTCAAAACAGTAGTTTTTCAGATATCTTGAAATTTAGTTATTCATTATTGAGTGATAAAATTCAGGTGAACTGCCTAACTAGTTTGTAATGTGTTGTATGGAATTAAAAAGGATTCTTTTATAGTGTATGTGTGAGATAACAAATTCTACTTTTGTTATGGTTTTGTTTACCATTCATTTAATATTCCTTTGATCATTTAGTTTAGCTATGAATTTTTAATTATGTAAATTAGCTAGTCACATGAGATGTAACCTCTTCATCTAATCACTAAATAAGGTCTAACATTAGATCACAGAATAACATTATAAGTTTATTTATTGATAGTGTTAAGTATGGTAAAATTTAGCCCTAACTAAACTAAAGCAAAAAACATACACAACTTGCAGAGAATATAGGCCTTGCAAAAAAAAAGGCATAACTAATGTTAGGCCTAAGGCAAGTGGACTTGTGGATTTTTATGTGTATGATTAGGATGCTTTTGTATTATTCTAAAATCCTGTATTTTAAAAAGTACTGTTGCAATGAAGATACTAATTTGACCACAAATGTTTGTTAGTAAATATATATTTGCATATGTGAGACCTGTTCTCAAACTTTGCCCAGGTTTGTTTTCCATGTTTAATTCAATATTCTAATTTAGTATTTGCTTTATGTTTGCTTAATCTTACAATTCATGTTAGTTTTTTTTAAGCTTTAGATTCAGACATATCCATATACTGAAAGTGCTTTTTGATTGCTTTTGTACATTCATGTAAATTGCATGTATAAACATATGTTACTTTTTGCATTAAATGGCTCTTATGATATAAGAATTTTCTGGTCTGCTTAATTTATTGGTTTAATTGCCAAGCATTTAACATTCTCATATTTTTTGTAATGTTTTCTTTTTTTTTATCTTAAATCGTAGTGAAAAATTTTAAAAAGCATAAATATTTAATAAGCCATGATGTAATTTTATTATTTTTGCTACTGAAATGTACAATGCTTCTCTGTCTTCATCAGATAATTTTTTGTTTTAATATTAAATGTATAGGAAGAAGAAGCTCATAAATTGTACAACAAAGCCCTAGAATTACAGACACAAGGACATTTCTCAGAAGCTGAGGCAACTTTTAAAGAGCTTCTTCAGTCTCAGTTACTTTCCCAAGTAAGACTCCTATTTATGAATAAGAATTATCAGTTAAAATGTGATTATTTTGAAATGAATTTGATGTATATTGTATTGTTTAAAATAATAATGCATTCAAGAAATTGTATAGAAAGTGTTTTTAATATCTATGGAGTTTTGAGTCCATTTTATTTTACCACATAGTAACCTAAATTAAATTAGGTATGTGAATAATGTTACAACATTTTGTCAAATTTGCTATCCATGACTATACAGCAGATAAACTGTTTAATGATTATATATATATATATATATATATGTGTTAAAGAAATCTTTAACACATCAGAAAGATTTGGTGTGTGTGTGTGTGTAGGGGGGGGGGGGTAAAATAAGCTCAAATATTTAGTTTGGTTAAGTTGTTTCATCATGTACAGTGTACTCCAAAAATAAGTGTTTTGACTTTAGAACCAAATAATAGAAATAAAAAAATCTTTGAAACCATTATGCTAAAAACTTTTCTGGTGTCAACATGCTTTTTAGTGCCATATGAGACTAGTGGAACCCAGCATATTTAGATAAAACCTTGAAAAGGTATACTCATATGTACAAAAAAAAAGATTTCATTTAACAGTAATTTTATGAAGTTATTTTACCTTTTTGCTTTTATTGCCAGAAAAACTATAAACTCCCACTCCACCATGTGTAGGTTTATTTACATATTTTTTCCTGCCAGTGCCCCTGGTAAGTGTTCAGCTGTGAAAATATGTGGGGAGAATAGATGCAAAAAAAAATTACAAAGCTTAAGTTAACGAAAACTGCATGTTAATTCAGTAGTTTTTGTTTTGATTTTAAAAATGTAAACAGTTTTTATATGCAAGGAAACATGTAATAAAAATACATTACAAAAGCCTGAAGAATGAATACTGATGACAGAAGAAAAAAAAAGTTTGTTTTAAAGAAATGTAATTTCAAAACTAATTATCTTACTTTGAGCATCTGGTGATAAATAGTTAAACTTGCAAATGTAAATATTTTAGCAAATGTGTTAGTCACAGACTTCAAACATTAACCAGAAATGGTACTATTATAGCACGCTGTCTACAAAGATATTTACAGTATAGCGTATGGTCTACACAGATACCATCATCATCACCGTTTTAACTTTTGTTTATTTGCAATTGGTGCCATTTATTATGAATAATGCTTTTAAACTAATAAAGTACAAAATACCATTACATAACATTTTTGGGGCAAATATAATTGGAATGAAATAAATTATGACAATCAAAACCAGCACAACTGTAACCTCAGTTTAAGGTACTCTTTTGGAAAACACAACTTATTAAATTATTATCACTTGCTGATCAAACACATGGATAGACATAAATTTAGCAAGAAATTATGTTTTAGTGAATCATTAAAATGGTGATGCTGATGATAGTATCTGTGTAGACCGCACCCTATAGTAGTACTCCACAAATTATCATTGAACTATAATCCTCGAGATCTGTTCAGATCTTAATTATTTCCCTAGAAGTTTCTGAAATTTTACATACAGATTATAGATATAGTAAGGATATAATAAATACCATTGTGTGTTTAACTTTTTTTTTACTATAATATCTTAAAAGCAGCTGTAAAAAATTACCAACTCCCTGAATTTCTGCTCATTCATCATACTATAAAAGTTCTGAGGTAGAAACACCAGGTGGAAATAGTTTTTTTAGCCAAGGTTAAGGTATTGGCCACTAAGGTGTTCCAAAAGCTATAATTACAGACAGTATCAATGCAGTTCTATTAATATTTCTAAGATCCATTAAGAATGTTCTAAATGTAAATTTTTCACTCAGAAAATATTTTTAAGTTTTTGCTTCCAGTATCGCTTATCATTGATGCTGTTTGAATGCCAGTTAATCTAGCAGAAGAAATAAATATTGTTACGCCTCTGGTCGTTCGTTCGTTAATTTTCTGTAAAAATTCTTTCTGAAGAAACTTTAGCGATACAAGTCCTTTCTTAAATAAAACTAGTTTATTCTTTCTCATTACAACTTTTCCATACACTTAATTTCCACAGTCACTTTAAGCACACGCTATGATTCACAATGATTCACGTACTTAGTTACGGTCACAATCATGCTTGGCTCAATTGTCCATCTTTATCTCTGCCTGTCTGCAATTCAATTCCGATTGATCTGTCTCACGTTATCCGGTGCACTTATATACAGGAATAGAGGGTGCCTAGCACATACTGGATTATTCGTGATGTTCCCCGATCCTTCGAGAATATCATGACGTGTTACCAGAGTCATGCGACTACCGCTGTTGTAACAGTATATATATAAACCCTCTTCTGTACCAGATGCATTGAAACTTTGTCATCATGGGCAAAAAAGTCTAACATAAACATAATGTGGAACTGTGAAATAGGGAACATAAAGTGAATTGTAACAAGCTCGGCCAAGTTAAGCCTTCAGAAAAATTCATATTATGAAGAGTGTATTCAACCCGTACCAAAAGTAGTTTCATCTAACTAGTCCTGATATTGTAAATACACTTAAATAGCTCTTGCACCACGCAGTAAATCTTTCACCTTTTCTTAAATGCAGGACTTTTTTGATCATGTTTGTTCTTGTAAACAGTTCTACTTCAAACCTTTTAAATGAAAAATTTGATCATATGTGGATGAAGTTACTGTGTATTCCAAGGACTTCTTTTATTTATTTAATTTGGGGGGGGGGGGGATATAGTGATGATATTGACCATCTGTAGAAAACTATTTTCCATATGTATCATGACAGAAGTTCTAAACAGCAGATTTTAATTAAAATTCACAACTTACTTTAGGTTGAGAAAGAAGATTGGTTTTGAAGTTGAAAACTTAAAAGTGAAAAATCACCTTTTCAAAGAATGAGAAATTTGGTTTCTGTGCAAAAGAAAACATAACCACAAGATACACACAACCACCGTTTTATTAACACACTGAAACCTCTTCAGTAATAATTGGGATGATCAGGCATTCTATTGATGGCTATTACTGTATTTTTTGGTGTATAAGATGCACTTTTTTACCCCAAAATTTGATGTCAAAATATGCTTGCGTTCTATACACTGAAGGTATGAATAATATATATGTATATATACGATATACACAAGACGTGTAAATATATTTAAATAGGCATGTATAGTTTAGTTCAATTGAATGTGTTACTTATAACAACAGTAGTTTTTTCTTTTAAAAACATAACTATTTATAATGCTCCCTAAGTAATAAAAAAAATAAATTACAGTGAAAGCAATGAAGATTTTGTAGGTTTTGAACCAAACTAAATAACAGTAAACCTTTTTTTGATTTATGGTATTTTCTTATTTTGATGTTTTGAGCTCTTTTGTGTTTAGAACAATATATACTAATTTTTAAAGTATCAAATTGAATTTTTGTTAAATAAAAATCTTTCAAATGCGACTGTAGTTTTTTCCCCAAAACTTTGTCTTCAAAATAAGGATGCTTCTTATATTCTGAAAAATATGGTAATTTTAAAATGTTTTCAAATGTTTTTGTTAGGTAGTTCCAAAACCAGATGAAGATACACCTCTTACACCAGGCTTGACTCTTAAGTATCTTGCTTACAAAAACCTTGGTAGTATAGCAGCTGAGAAAGGGAATTTTTATGATGCAGTAGATTCTTATCTTGAGGTAATAATTTAAATAGACAAGCGTAAAAGTATGCTGTTGGTACGTATTAATTGTGTGATCTTTATTTAAGTGTTTTTTTGTGGTATCTAAAACCACTAAGGTATTAGCAGGATTTATCAGAATAAGAGAAATTATTATTTTTGTATCAGTAGAAAATTAGGATATTGATTAAAGTATGTAACGTATAGCCTTTTTGTGTGCATCTTAGGCATATGGAAAGACTATGGTAACATTAATCTGTTTTCTCCAGACTTATTATTTAGTGAACTTTGTTGTAACATGCTTACTAAATGGCTAGTAGTGTTATAGTATGTAACAGTTACTTAAAGTTACTTATTTTATAATTATTCATTTTAAAAATATTGCTAGAGAAGAACTCAATGGCTAGCTTTGAAGTGGCAGTTGCGTGTGTGTGTGTGACTTAGTAATTAGTTTGTTTATTCTCAGGGTATATTAGATACTTAAGATTGTGTTGATAACTGTAAATCATTCAGTATTTTTAAAATTATATTTTTGTACGTGATATACTGTGCTTGAAAGTAAGGTAGTAGACAAATTACTCGCAAATGTATCATCCTTTTCTTTGAAGTGCTACTCCATTGTCTTGTACCTCTTAAAATCTAAAACACGATACACAAATTTAGTTGTTAAACACAAGGACATAGAATCAATAGTGCAAGTGCTCTACCAATTTTTTTGAGCTTGTTCCCAAAACTCAGAATGATTATTGGCTGTTTACAATTTTGGCCAATAGGGAAGCTTCTTATTACTCCTAAACCTTTTCTTTCTGAGGCAGTAATTCAGTTTAACTGGTACCCTGTTGATTCTCTAACTCCTTATATGCTAACCTTTCAAGGACTTTCAATATTAAATGCTACCTTCAGTGAATTGTTTTAGCCTATATTGGTTTTAAGGATCATGTTCTGGTTTCTGAATCCTGTCACACCAAATATGCTCAACTCTTAAGCTGTGGGGGCATTATAATGTAAAGGTCAATACCAGTTTTCATTGGAAAAAAGAGTAGCCCTAGAGTTGGCATTGATGATTAGCTGCCTTCTCTCTGGTATTTCACTGCTAAATTAGGGCCAGCTAGTGCACATAGCCCTCGTGTAGCTTTTTTGGACGAAATTTAGTAACCCAGCCATCTCATAATCATCAGATTCGAGCCTTCCTTTATCATCCTTCAAGGGTCCTATCCCCATCTTAATATTTTATTTACACTTAATGTAT